AATGACATCGATGCGCATTATAAACTGCATTCCATCTTAGTCTGTCTCAAGGATATCGTTGAGCTGTGTTTTTTACTAAATATTAGTTTGAATCATATGCACATATGGGGTAGTCTTGCACATGTGCGCTTGATATGGACAAGTAAGTTGGAAGCAGATCATAGGCATGCTAGATTTGATAGCTACTCTAAATGTCACTAGGATGGATTATTTTATGATCTCAAAGATAAAAGTTAATTGTTTTCACTCACTGTTTATCTATAGGAGAATCATATTATGAATCACATACCTAGTAGCATAATGTTAGAGAATTTGGTATGAGTACCAGATGTACCACATGTGAACACACTTATTATAGAGATTGAGAATAATATATGAATTCCCTATTGATGCGTTAACATCATCTACTACACAGATTCTTGCATCGGTACATTGATGTAGTGGGAGGATTATCATCCAATTCGACAGAATCATGTTTTTAGGTGAGACCATTATGGACATCCCTGTTAAACATGAGTTGGACCCAGTAAGCTACACGGAAGCGTGAACCGATGTGGATACAGATCGTTTTGGTGAGTTACTATGAAATCAGAGTTGGAATCGATGTATTCTAATAAATTCTGGGATCTTATAGAACTTTCTAGTAGGGTGATTCCTATGGAAGGCAAGTTAATCTACAAAAAAATACCAGAAGATTTCTTAGTGAATAAATCATGAGTGTACAACGGAATGTCATTATTTTTCTAATTCTATATATATTGATGACATCCTACTCATTTAGAATGATGTGGAAGTTGTGTCATCAATAAAAAGGTAGTTGTTCAATTACTTTTAAATGAAGGATTCTTAAGATGTAAGCTATATTCCTAGGATCAAGCTTTTGCAAGATCAGGTTAAAAGGAAAATAGGCTTATCTTAATAATCCTACATTGATAAAGTTTTGACCAGTTTTGGTATGCATAACTCAAAGAATGAGTTCTTGCTTTATTGATATGGATGGCTCTCTCTAGTAAGTAGTTTTTCAAGACTATGAAAGGAGATTGAGCAAATAAGACTGGAACAATATGTTTCGGCATATGAGAGTCTCATATATACCATGGTCTATACCAAACAGGACATCCGCTACATAGTAGGGATAGTCAGTAGAGATCAGTCCAATACTGGACTTGACAACTGGTCTATTGTGAAAAATATCATTAAGTACCTAAGGAGAACCAATGATATCATATTCATTTATGGATGTGATGATATGGTCCTAGTCAGGTATGCTAGTTCTGATTTTCAATCAGAAGTAGATACTATGAGGTTCATGACTCAGTGTATGTTCACTTAATGGAAGGGAGATCAGTTGGTAGATTGTTAAGCAGATTTCAACTGCTGATTCAAACCTGTAGGTGGAATATATTGCAGCCTTAAAGGCGGAAAAGGAAGCCTATTAGTTTGATCTCACTGATTTAGAGGTTGTGGAGTATACTAGCCTGCCTATTGAGCTATGTTGTGACAATAGTGCAGAAGTAGTCCAAACCAATGACCCAAGGTTCCATAGAGGAACAAGATACACTGAGAGGAAGTATCATGTTCTACATGATATTGTCTGGCAAGAAAATGCACTTGTAGTTAGAACATTGCATTGGAACACAACTTTGTTGATCCATTATCAAAGGTGTCATTGATCAATAATTTTGATCATGATCTGGATAACATTGGAGTTATGTGCAATTTGAATTGGCTATGAGGGCAAGTGGGAGCTGTTGGGATTTATATGCCCTGGCATAGCAAATTCCTATCTGGATTATAGTGACATATGTTCCTGACATATCTGAAATATTTATGATTTATATAATTGGTAAATTCAATGTATTATGTTTCGATTCACTATGAAATTGATAGTGTCCATGTAATTACAAGAAATATTTATATATATGTATGTGATGACAATCAATGCATGATATATAAATAGTAATTATAAATTGTTCATAGTCGGTAATTATGGATGGACTCATAATTAATTAAGACTTGAACTGGATCCGGGTTAGGTTGAGATATATTGCGAGAGCCGTCGTATGCAATTACTCCCTATCACCGTCATGGCATTTGACTCTTAAGTATGAGAAAAATATAGACTCTTTTATTAATTAATAATTACTTTGATTTGTTCGGCGGATTCTTCGGGATCCTTAGACCGACACTTTGGGTAATTATGTAATTAATAGTTAGAGGGTTATATTTTCAATATTTGCATCATTGCTACTTGTATTTATTTTGTATTAATTATGGTTGATCACAAAGTAAATTCGAAGGCCTTCGTGTGTTTTTAGACAAAATGATTTATTATATATTTATTTATTTAAATTATTATTTTTGTCAAACAAATGTTTTATTGTGATTAAGAAAGAAATAATCAAAGGTACCAAAATAAATATATTAATTAAGTAGTCGGATTGATGACATTATTTATCCGATAACTAATTATGCATAGAGGGGTCAAAGTGCAACATTGACTTAGAGGTTATTTATTATTTAATTGGAGTTCAATTAATTTCTTTTAGTGGAGTAGAAATTAATTTATGAATTAATTTAATTGGGTCCATGGACCGGGCCAATTATTAATTCATTGTAGCCAATAAAAATAATAAACCTAAAGGATTCTCACTCATAGCCCAACTTGATATTGGAATCATATTAGATTTGAGACATGTGAATTAGAGATTGAGAAGGATTAGTTGTTTCCTTTTCTTTACCTTTATGTTGCCTATAAATATACATGGTCTATGTATATTTTAGTGGTGATTTTTATGAGAAGGAAAAAGGAATAAATTTTCTCTCTCTAGAAAATTAGGGTTTATGGTCTCATCTAATAGAGACTCCCACAAGCCTAATTTTCCAAGGTAATTCATGGAGGCTTATGAGTGATTCCTAAAGGCAAAATAATTACCAAGAAGATGGAGATCCAAGGAGAAGGCATCTTGCTAAATGATCTACAATAAGTGAGAACATTCACTTTAGAGGAAAGTTTTAAAGGTTTACTCAGACCTTTGATGTAAGTATTCAATCCATTAATTGAATGATACATCATATTTTTATTTTTGCATAAAACTTGTTTCTATGTGATGAATCAAGATTTATGAATCAAAATCCCTCGAAAAGTTTTTAAAACTTGCACGTTTCCCAACAATTCTTAGATTGCCTAACTATTTCTTTATGTCGGTTTGTTGCACAAATCTTATATTTCTGGAATCCTTATTTCATAAACTTTCCGTGTATATATATTATTTGTAATTTTTTGATATATGGTTTGTGAGATATATATTTTTAAAATTCGAACGAATTAGAATTCAAATAAAACAGAATGAGGGTATTTTGGTTTAAATATCCACTCTTTTAAAGCCCCCTTCGATAGTTGGAGGGATTTTTTTAGAAAAAAATAGTCGAGGGGGAAGGAGGAAGCGATTACTTAAAAAGGCTCATGGTCGAGGGGGGTTTATTGTACTTTGCCCAATTTATAATAATGCATTCTTATTGAAAGTCAAAATTGCAAGGGTTTAATTTGTACACACCCCTACTTCAGATTATTATTATGCAGCAGGCTTGGTAAAGATTAAATAAAGCCTCTTTAGCAAAGACTCTAAATTCTACTCTCTCTCTCTCTCTCTCTCTCACACACACGTAATGGTATTTCAAAACCAATTAAAGTGTATCGGAGTTCCTTTGCATTTTCTCTGAATTCTATTCTCTCTCACACATACCAGTAATGGCATTACTCGCGTAACAAATATAATTTTTCTTTCAACAAATTGAGCATCCTAATTGCATAAAGTGTCCAATTAATGATTACTATATCTTTTTCCTTCATATTCCTCTCTGCATTGTTCAGAAACATTATGCCTGTTAGAGAGAGTGGTCAAAGATTGTGTTTGTAATCATTAAAGTGCTTAGTATGTCTTTACTGATATGAAAATGATATTTTAAAGGGTGGAAACTAAAGGGCGTTAGATAGAACAAAAAACAGTAAAGAAAAAGTAGTTTGGATGACAAGAAAATACAAGAGAAAGAAAAAAAAAGGAACAAAAAGAGAAAGTATTCCGTGACATTGTGCCAGGTAGATACTGTTCTGTTGATGATGTGCCGCTTTTTTTTTATTTTTTATTTATTTTTTATTTTTAACCTGATGATCTGCCACTTTAATAGCCTTCAACTGTGAATGATAAATGCGATTTTCTAGTTTAAGATTCTAAAAAACAGAGAATTATCTTATGGACCCATGAAGAGCCACTATGTGCGAATTCACACAGTCGAACAAGTTTGATTGATGCTTTGTTGATTCTCTTCCTTTATGGTTGAGTGAAGGAGTGCTGCCTGAATGTTCTTGTTGATTTATTATTATTATTTTTTTATGAATAACTATTAATACTACGTTTATTGTTAATTAAGAAAAATGAATAAGAATATCATAGAAAAGAAATAGAATGTACAAAAACTAGAGAGAAGGCTATATCATATATATATATATATATATATATAACAATGAATTACATTATGCACATGATGCTATATCATAAATATATATATATGTGTGTATGTGTGCTACCTTACACTAAATATGATATGGTAGACAATGAATATATATTGTGGTTGTTAATTATAAAAGAAAAAAAAGAGTATGGAGTGTTGTTGAGAAGGGACGGTGAGTGTCCCACGCAGCCTTTGAAGGGACCTATGATTTTTGTTAGTTTATGAGCAGACAAAAGCAGAGGAAAGCTTTTCTTATCCCCTTAGTCTCGATTCTCACATTAACATGTTACGCCTAGAATCTTCAAAGCCTGTTACATTAAACAAATCATAACTACTGTGAATGCATCACCTAACCTCATAATTTGAACGCAGAAAAGATCTTCATGTCATATGGGTCCACTTGCTTTGATCCCCCACAGTGGCTTATATAGTTCAGTGTCGTACAACTCCATCTCCATCATCTTCTGTTCTTCTCTCTCTCATTCAAATCTCTCTCTCTCTCTCTCTCTCTCTCTCTCTCTCACACACACACACACACACACACACACACATACACACACTTGCATATACATCGGTGCTAAATAAATGGCACAAATGAGTCTTCCCCCAGGATTCAGGTTCCACCCAACTGACGAGGAACTTGTTGCTTACTATTTAAATAGGAAAATAACCGGCCGTGTGATCGAGCTTGAAATCATCCCAGAGGTTGATCTCTACAAATGTGAGCCCTGGGATTTACCAGGTACGTACCTACAAATTTACTTGAATATATATATATATATATAGAAATATCATTAATTTGATTGACTCTAAATTAAATTGAGTTGAAATCTGATATATATATTTGATTTGATGATGTGCATGAATAGACAAGTCATATTTACCTGGCAAAGATATGGAATGGTACTTCTACAGCCCAACGGATAGGAAATACCCAAATGGGTCGAGGACTAACCGGGCAACCAAAGCCGGTTACTGGAAAGCCACCGGAAAAGATCGGGTGGTGCAGTCGGAAAGGCGGCGGGTGGGGACGAAGAAAACACTGGTGTATTATAAAGGTAGAGCTCCCCATGGCATCAGAACCAACTGGGTTATGCATGAATATCGCCTCATCAACTCCGTCTGTGGCAATGCATTTGCTTTACAGGTACACTCTCTCTCTCTCTCTCTCTCTAATTTTTATTTTATTTTATTTTATTTTTAATTTTGGAGTAAGGTTTACTCATTTGCTTTGAAGGCATATATTCATGCTACAACTTGCTTAATTCTTTTACAATTTCGTTCGTATTTATTATTATTATTATTATTATTATTTTTTATAATTTTCAGAATTGATTTGTCCATAAATTACAATTTTTTCTGACATCGAATTGGTCTGTGGTATTGGAAATGGTGTTGATCATCAGAAGAATATTAACACACATATACATACATACATACATATATATATATATATATATATATATATATATAATTCAAAAGTGAAGATTAATTCCTTAATTAACACAATGTCAAGACTTCTTGTCTCGAATCCAAATTCCCTCCTGCGAAGGATCAATGCACTCGTCATCTATGTATTGTTAACGCAACACATTATATCATACTGCAACAGTTACATTATGAAATGCAACACTACAAAATAATGATGTAATGCAGTAACATAAGCGGATTCCCTCCTGCGAAGGATCAATGCACTCGTCATCTATGTATTGTTAACGCAACACATTATATCATACTGCAACAGTTACATTATAAAATGCAACACTACAAAATAATGATGTAATGCAGTAACATAAACGGTATGGGGTTGTTGCATAAGTAATATCTAAAATGCACACGACAGACAATGAAAACGGCACACTTCTAGGTTGTGATCATAATTTTCCTAATTTGCACCACTAATGGACCATTATGAACACAACAGATTTGATTAGATGATTAAATTTGCACTGCAGGATTCATATGCATTATGTCGCATTTTCAAGAAGACAGTTGATCACGGTCCCAAAACTACGGAGCAGAATCGGACAACAAATAAGAAAAGATGTCAGGTATTGGACAAGCATCTAATAGAAGACCAGGACACAAGTTCTGGGACCGAAATTTCAAAAGGGACAGAAGCTGAAGATAAAAATTTCGATCACTGCAATCCGAAATATCCATCTGATGCTTCTTCTTCAGATCTTACCCAAGGGACACCACTTGAAACTTGTCAAACACATTTTTCACAAGCTCCATTTACATCAGATGAAGATAACAGTTTAGCTGACATGTATTCTTTCGGAACAGACTGGCAATCGAATCTAGTTCAGGTACAATTACATCGTAAATTGATCTATATGGCCATCTTTTTCTTTCTTTTTAATTTTATTTTATAAACCATGATTTATGGCATCTCATTTTCTAGATTACACTGGATATATCTAAAATTAATGTGTTTGGTTCAGTTTTGTAAAAACAATTCTCAAAAACTTGGAAAATAGAAAACTGTTTTTCATAAAATTATTAAAGGTAGTTCTCAGAAAATGAACTTTTTTTAAACTAAGTTTTCAAAACAGTTTTCAGAAATTGTCAATTAAACAGAATTTATAAAAATTGAACCAAAGAGGCCCTGTAGCCTTTGAAACACACACTGATAAACACACACAGAGAGTTGGCTTATGAGCTTGAAATGGTGCACAAAGACATCTCCTTAATTAGCCCCTTTGAGTATTTTTTTTCAATCTTAAAGTAACAAAGTTGGAAAGTAATGAAGCTCAATTTGTTTTTGCAAAGCTTCTTTGTGAAAAGATCTTTGACTGCAATTAAGTGGCTCTTTTTTCACCATTTCCTATAAGTTCATTGACTACACAAACATCTTTCTTTAATTATGGTTTTCCACAATCTTTTAAAACATATCTCAAAAATCACTCTAGATAGCAGTGACATTTTATGTCATCCCCCTAACACATCTTCTAACATTTCGGCTGAAATTTCAATTCATCTATACTTTCTCTCCCTTTTTTTATGTGTGTACCATCGCGGTACACACGCAAGCATATATATATATATATATATATATATATATATATATATATATTCACATATTCCTTAATTTCTGAGTACTCTTAACTGTCTAATTTACGGTTTATACCAAATTTATCACTCATACACATATGCCATGTAAATGCAGGACATTCAAGACATGGAATACACTAGCATGCAGCATCAACCTCCCTATCCACCCTTGGCAGTAGAAGACTTCCCGAAGATAGATATAGCAGAGACAAAGCCATCAAAGCCTGAAAGTATAGATGAATATGTGATGTATGACAAACACAGAGATTACATGATCAGCGGGACAACGATGTTTGAGGACATTTTGTTCTTATGTTCTTCGTGAGAGACCTCCATATTAACCTATTCATTCATCATTAATTAAACTGATTAATATTCTAAAAGGTCATTAAGTTACTTCACCAAGTGAAGACCATACTAATTATTCTCCAATGAATACTGGAGAACTATTTTGATATAAATATAGAATACTGTCCGATTAAACAAAAGTGGGGGAATACAAGTGATTTTTGTGAGAATTGGGAATTGCTAATTGCACCATCATTTATTTATTGTTTTGTTGTAAATTTTTTTTCTTTGTATTGAATTTTTTTTGTCTTTTTTCTTTTTTTTTTCCATTAAGGATGGTAATTTTTTCTTTGTATTGATTTCCCACTTAATATTAATAAAGCTTTCTTTTCCTTTGTCCTACTTCTTTTTCCTCTTCTGATTCTCTCTCTCTCTCTCAATTAATATGTTGAAACTTCTTGGTCAATTTTGGAAGGAAGACTGCAAAACTTCTTGGTCAATATTGGCAGGAAGACTGCAAGATAAATTGATAAACCATTATATAATGTTTCTTAGATTATTGTACATGTTTCAGTTCTACAATTTTAATTTCTTTGGACCCTCAACCTCGATCAACATGCCATTGGTTAATTCATCAATAGTTTATATTAAAATTTTAAAGAAGGCAAACCTTATTACGTAGTGTTACCTCTGCACTCGAAGAGACTATTTTCTTATTTCTAACTCGTGACTTGAAGGTCGTAATGGAACAACCATACCATCGCCTCTCGTCAGTAGTTATATTATTATATATATCTTATCCTGCTGATCAAACTTATATGAGAGAAATATCTTTGCAACCTGGCTTGAAGTTTCTGAATTTCACAGCTTAAGAAAAACAGTTATATACATTTACAAGGGACTAAAAGTTGATACTGTTCATCATTTATTTTTTTCGTAATAAAAATTTAATCGAAAAAAAGGCCTAAAAGTTCCATGCAAGATCACCCATAGAGGTCAGATCACCACACATTGCACCAGACATAAGTGTAGACTCCACAAACTCAAGATCAAAACTAAAACCATCAAATGGACAATCCTTTTGTTCATGATCAATTTGCATTTCACAAATCCTCTCCTTCTGTGGGTGTTCTTGTTGCGGCGGGGGTAGTATTTGTTCCCTTCCTTGAGCTCCAAAGGGCACTTCAACAACTGATCCATTACCCCATATGCAATTCCCATCTATGAACCCGAACCCAGACGGGTTTACTGAACAAGAAGACGAAGAAGAAATGTTTGGTGTGCTCTCGAAGGAAGATGGGAAGTCCAAATGGTGATCCTGATGACAATTCTGATCTTTAACAGCCAAAATTGCATTAGGGTTTTGATATTCGGAGATGGATGTGGCAATGGTCTGAAAATGCAATGGAGATTCATTAGAATTATGTGGAGGAAGAGGAGGGGTGACAAAGCTAGGCTGGTTCCTTTCCATGGAGTTATCGGTGTTTTTCCGCGAATTCACAGTAAAAACTGAATTGGGTTTTTGTTTGGTTGCAGGAGATGCATTGCATGCAGTACTCTTATTATACTGTCTGTGGTGTGAAGTGATCAGATTGTGAGTTTTTGGGTCCAAACCTTGTGAAATCAGCTTTTTCTTAATGCATGAATTCCAGAAATTCTTCACCTCATTGTCTGTTCTCCCAGGCAAATGCTTAGCTATCTGAGCCCATCTGAGTCAAGAGACAAGAATGTAACAAAAAAATGGCATATATTAAGTGTGTAGTCTGATAATACTGCACACCTAAACTCAACGTTACGGTAAGTTGGTGGGGGATTACAAGGGTATTATTGTATTTCCACACTTATTATAGAGTATAATTCATTCTGAAATATCTAATTTCAGTTTACTCTTTGTCACAATGAAATCCCTACGATTTCATGGACGTAGTCCAAGTTTTGGGCAAACCATATATAGTAATTTTATTTGTGCTCTTGGTAATTTTTTTTTTTAAAATTTTCACAACATTAATTTATTTGGTTTATCTAATAAATAAATACATGCTAACCTGTTGCCAAGAATTCTATGAACATCTATGATGATTTGTTCTTCTTCTGCAGTAAAAGAACCCCTCCTGAGGTCTGGCCTCAAGTAGTTTATCCATCTCAATCTGCAACTCTTTCCACACCTCTGCAAGCCTATAAATTTCAAATCAAATCAAACACTTTAATTTATATCACACAAAACACAAGTGTGTGTGTGTGTGTGTATATATATATATGTATGTACACATGCATCAGAGAGAAATTAAGAGAAGTACCTGCAAATTTGGGAACAGAACTCCAACAGCCATGGCCATGAGTGGTGATGTGTCGGACGAGCTTCTCGTCTTCTTCAGGAGACCATAATCCTCTTTTCACTTTCTGTTTACTGCAACACCTATGCCCCATCCCAACTAACTCTCTCTCACTCCCTATCAACAGTGTAGCTAACTTCATCTCACCATTTATACACACACCTAACTGTGTGCGCATGTGTCGGTGTTTGTGTGTTACTTAATTAATCATGTAATGTATTACTTTTTTGTTATTTATCAATGAATGAAATACAAGAAACAAAAATATATATATATATATTATAAAATGAAAGAGAGGGAGAGAGGTTTATTAAAATCCAATGAATTGAAAAGCTTCTATATTGGTTGCCCAAAACCAGTAATTACTTGCTTTTCTACTCAGCATAACAACGTCATATGTGACTTGTGACTCATTAATGATAGCTAAGGTTATAATACTATAACATTTTTATAAATTAATTTAAAATTCATGACTCGCAATCATATGAATATGTTGTTTCGCGCTATCTGAGTGAAGAAGAAAGCATTAGAAAATGACTACCTCAATTGTCACGAAAGCAATTTATTTTCAGAAATGTGCTGTAATTTAATACTTGGGGTTCACTCATGCAAGACATGAGGGAGTCCTCGTGCAGACTCTGTCTATTTGAGTGTGTGTTCATTACGTTTCAAAAAATATTGCACCCAAAAAAAAAAAAAACACACACACACACAATGTACCTATGTGAAGCAACCTCTTTACTTATTTTGCTGGACATATTCTAGATAAAGTAGCAAGTTGTGAATTGGAAATATCAACTCCTACACGTGAAAACTTAATAAACAGTTAGTGTCCTTAACGAAAATGAAAGCATAACAATATTGCAGTGTATACTTTGTGTATCTCTGTCATTGACACATTGTATTGCCCCCAAAATATGTATTAAATTGGATTTAGAACATGTTTATATTTTGATCAATGTCATGGAAAAAAAAAAAACTTGTGATTTGGTCCTTAGACCTAGAAAGATGTATGACCTTTATTGTAAGAAAACATGTTGAACTTTAATATTATCAAGTGGCAATGCTCAATCATGACTCATGGTAAATTCTTTTCTTTTTTCTTTCTTATAATTATCGAAAAAAAAAAATTTGTGAAAAAAAAAAATTCTTAGTGGTCAAAAAATCCCTTATATTTTTCAAATTGAGCAAATAAGGGTCATTTCCTAATTTGAAGATTGAAATACCTAAAATGCCCTTAAAGTAAAATAAAAAAGTAGAAAAATAATTATATGCTCAAATTTTATTAAGGGCATTTTGGGAGTTTTATTAAAAAAAAAATGGTCAAAATTTACAATCAGTGGGCAATTTGTTACAAATTTTCAAATTATAGAGATTTATATGCACATACTAAATAGCAGAGGTGTTATTTGCATATTTTTCTTATACAAGAGAGGATTTTTTGAAATACTTTACCCAAAAATATATGTATACAGTTTCTCATTCTAATGCCACCAAAATGTTGGACACAACATTTCGAAAAAATTATTAGATAGTTTCAAGAGACCTATTTGGTGGTTGTTCAATCAAAATTAATGTCCGTACGATTAAACGAAGTGTGATGAATAAATAATTAATGATTTATATATATATATATATATTGAATAAATAAATTATTTAAATGTCTATTGAGACATATACTAGTCCATACCACTTAGATTTAGATATAAGTTAGTATTAAGTTTTGATGGGTGACAATAAAGGTATTATTTCAATTTCTTACATAAGTGAAGGGACCGAAGTGCTGGAAATGAATTCACTAATAAATAACTATTCTTTAATGTTAATTTGCAAATATTTGTGGGGAAAAAAAAAATCAACAACTTGCTATGGTATCCTTATTAAAGAAATATATATTTCCTGACCATCTCATGGTCCTTATAGCCCCTGAAGCCACTGTCCCAATCAACTTTTGTACTTTCGGTATATTTTATGCATAATTGTTGTCTACAATTTCCCCATTTCTTGTCAATCTGAGTGCTGTCATCACCAATTGCTTGCTTAATTATGCTTAAATTAAATTAGCATCCTTTAATTAATTACTTAAAGAGGTTGGAATTCAATTTTAAAACATCTGTCAAATATGATGTCATATATATATTTTTTTTCAAGACAAGAATTATTAGATTTTAGATTAGTTGATACAGATAGTTAAAGTTTGATATTTTAAAATTTACGAGAAATATTAATCCAGTGAGTTAATGAGGCAATTGCTTCTCTTTAAGAAATAAATCTAATAATTACTTCACGAAATAAAACAAAATCTTAATTAGAAAATTTAGGGCATGGAATGGTTTTTTTAAAGGGTTTGCTAAGTCTTCTTGTGTTTAATTGGGTAGGGTATAGATGGTTTAGTCATAAGGATAGTTTTTCAAACCATGAGCTGAGGAAAAAATGAGGACAAAGATGAAGTGTGTGAGTGAGTAATAAAGTTTACACTTCAAACGAATTAATATTCTAATGTCGACTAAATTATGTCTAACGATTTGTCTAAGTTGACTAGTTCATCGTGATCTCCACAGAAGGTCCTTTTTGTACGATGTCACGCTTTCTAGGAAGCCTCTGTTTTTTGAAATGAGCCCTACTATTTGGGCCACGGTGAATCCGACTCCTTCACGTCTTTGCACGCATGGGCCCAGTCGGGTCAAATAGAATTCGCTGTATGAAATTAATGTCTTGAAATTATAATCAAAATAAAATTTAATTCAAAAGTTTGTAGTAAGCCTGTAAAAAATAAGTAGAGTTCGTCATGTGATGAGTCTTACACTAACACTCAAGTCTCACTATATTTTCCTTCGCCTTACAATTTAGGTGGCCGACTGTAACATCTTTTTAACAGAACTCAGAATCTCTCTAATGCAATTTTGTTTCATTGTCATCCAATACACTTTAAACCATAATTCACAACATCGCTGTTGATAGAACCCTAACACAACACACAACATATTGCGTAAAGTTAAAATGTACCATCATTAAACACCTTTATTATTCCATTATAAATTTAAGAAAAAAATTACAAATACATTGACTTTTAGACTGTAATTTACTATTTCATAGAGTTAAAAAATTAATATTTAAGAAAAATGAATTTGACTTAAAGACTAATGTGACTGGAACAATACTGTTCATTTTATTCAAGTGTCCGAGCTACTCTTATTATTTGAATGACAATTAAAAAAAAAAAAAAAAAGTGAACTGAATTTTGATCACCAGTTGTCAAATTTTTTTCAACACACACACACACACATTGCATTGTCTTAGGATCAATAACTAACACGCAAGTAAAAAATTGAATAAAATTGGGAATTATTATATTTAAATAGTGCTAATGACTCATATTTATTATTTAATGGAATCAAAGTCTTATAATTTCGAAAAAATAAAGTTGACCAAAATATTGATGTGAATATGAAAAAATACTACTTCCCCTCACAGAGATACCACTTTTAGACACATAGGTACCACTTTTTGTGCACAGAAGTACCATTTTTGTTTTAAGCATTGAGGTACCACTTTTATTCACATAAGTACTACTTTTTTGTGTAAAAAAAAATAGTAACAATGTACTGTAAAAGTGATATCTAGGATAAACAATATTTTTTTTATGTCCTCATTTTTTTTTCTAAATTATGAGATCTTAACTTCATCAAATGATAAATATGCATTATTAATACCATTTATATTCAATAATATCATAAAATTGACATATTTTCTTCCGGGGGAGGGGATCCAGGTAGGTCTGTGAGAGATGGGCCTTTTTCTGGGGTCAGTGCGAGTTGATTGGGACAAAAGAAGATTGTGTAGTGTTTACTGTGCATGGGATGGGGAGTACCTTTTATATAAGAAAATGAAGAATTGATGCACGAAACTCAAAGGAGTGAAATGATTGAGGAACAGAATCCAATGAAGCCACCAGCAATTGGATCCATGTATAACTGTAAGAATCCAATATAATCATAGTATATGCATAATTTGTAATGTCACTCAGTGAACCCATGCAGCTTTTGATGCCAGATCAAGTACTCTTTAACTTTACTCACATGAAGATAGAAGCTTCCTCCCACCTCTACTCTATGTTCGCACTTGCACGCATGGGAGTGCGTTGTATGCTCCTACTTCCCCTTTTAGCTTTTCTTTTCTCTCTCTCTCTCACACACACACACACACACACACACAGTGAGAGAGATAATGGGGAGCTTTCTTGCCAACTAGTTTGCACAGACTCTAAATTCTCCCTGTGAGATGTGATCAATAAAGATGGTGTCACCACCATCTTTTTTCCTCAACGAAAGATAGCTCATTTTTTCCGCTACCAAAGAGGTTAATTACAACAATATATGTATATATCAATATACATATATTATCAACAATCGTGGCTTGAAGTCTTTAGAGCGTTACATAAAGTCAATTAAATTTAGAATAATGCTATTACGAGGTTTATGCCTGTGATTTTTTTTTTTTTTTTGTTTTTATGAGCTTTTTTTGTCTTTTCGTTATAATTATGTATAATTATTGGTGTACGAATTTAACGTTTGAAAGAGAATTGTATGAGGATTATATAATTAAAATTTCGTACTAAAATTCATTTACGGTAAATTACCCACCAATTAGTTTACCAAATTATACTATTAATTTTGACTATCTGGTAAAATTTTATTTTATTATATTTTGAACAGATTTTTTTTACAACCAAATCAATTTAATATTGGCAATGCAACGATATATAATTTGTAGCTTTTTATTTCTTTCAAAATAGCTAATTTAAAGGAGAGCTCACCAGAAATGTCATGATTAGTATATCAATGTGCCCAACTGAGGATCATGGGACAAAAGTGGGCCTAGTCCTGGGCCCAAGGCCCACTGAAGCTTTACACCATATATTTTATTCACAAAGAAGGCCCAACAGAGGGTAACAATTTTACATGAAACTTTTCCGGGAAAAAAGAAATTTTAAATAACATTTTTAAATCAAAAGACCGTTACAAGCAACGGCCACTTTCTTAGTTGGCCGTCCAGACAAAGGAGAGCCATGCCACATGAAAATTATCTTCCTGCTTCATGCAAC